TCGATGCGTTTTTCTCGATGAAGGAATTTTTTTCGAATTTTTTCTTTATTTTTATGTCAATCTACATGCATTTCTGCACATATTGATGCAATAAAAATTTTCACCGTACACCACCTTTAAAATTTCAGTGCAAGAAATTTATTTTTGTCGGGGTTACGGTAGACAGAGACCGCCCTTTTATGTGCATCATGTCGTTGTTGTGTTTGCGGATTTTCATTGTGCTTCGAACAAATTTTTCGAATATTGAAGCTTTTGAGTAATAGATTTGATCTTCAACCGCGGAAGATTGGAAAATTTCATTTTTTCCGCGAAGTTCACTCAGTTTTTATTCACTTCAATCACTCTCTCAATTTTTCAGTCGTCTTTCACCTTGTATTATTTTTCTCAGTTTCCAATCAAAATTTCACCAATTTTCTCGTTTTTTTCTAGCAAAATGACAGCAGTATCGCTTGTCGGAGGTGCCCCGCGAGGCCTGGATTTAGAAATGATCGCCGCGACGAAACCACGACTCATGTTCCCATCGACGACACTTCAAATCGATGGTTTGGATCCGAACGCCGAGTATCGCATCTACCTAAAACTCGTCCGCTCTTCTTATCGTTATCAACTCAAAGAACAACGATGGGTGTCTGATAAGGTGCCGCATCCGAAGGAAGACCTCGAGGAGAAGCCAATTTTGAACAAGTATCGACAACAAACTGGCGAATTCTTTATGAGAAACGGAGTGTCCTTTGAGAATGCCAGAATCTCGTTTAACAAAATTCAAACGCGACGATCGACGGACACATTCTACGTTAGGAAGTACTTCAAGTACTCACAGCAAATCCACGTGGATCTTGTCCGGCCAGGAGACGGAAATCGATGCTGTAAAGTCTATCCGATCGTTGGCGGAGAGTTCGTCGCTGTGAGCCATTTGGAAGTAAGAATACGTAGCTACTTATATGTAAGGATTTCACTAAATTCCCCTAATTTTTCAGAGCTCCCGCATGAGCCAGTACTACGCTATCGGCTTCGAGAACATTCGTCAGTTTGGGAAGAAAAGACAGCCAAATTACAAGACTAGCCACAAAATCCACCCGGTCATCGTCATGAATCATCCGTCGGAGCATCCATCCAACTTTTATGGCTTCCAAATTGAAGATCCAGATGATATGCCACCAACGAGACTATTCGATGGAAGTGTTGTCACACGGAAGCACGGGCGAACCTACTACTATCCACCGGTCTGCCAATAATGGAATATGACTTAATCAATAATTATTTTTGCTAATATTTGTGTCCCTATGTATATTTTGTCTAACATTATGATCACCCGGTTTGTAAGCATATAATAAAGTATTGAAGCTCGAAAAAAAGTAGTGCTTTTTCGTTGAATATGTTGCTGACGCGACGTGGAGTCCTGAAGGTTATTGACTTCGGATTATGCAAGAAGCTGTCAGCGCGAGGCGAGAAGCTCACTTAGCGGCAGAGGTTTTGAGATGAGAACCGTATGGAATTGAGTCGGATTGGTGGGCAGTGGGCGTGTCGTTGTATCAGTTGAGAGTGAGTTATTGTTTAACTAAATTCCAGAAAAAATCACGAGTTCATGATTGATATACAGTCAATTATTTGCTCATTTCAGTGAGCCTCTTTTCAACAAAAATAACCACCACCCCTCAATTTTTCAGTTTATGGCTCTCCGCCCAGAAGCATGCTTGGGATACTTCTCTACCGAAGATGTCAAAAAAACATCCATTCTTC